TTGTAAAAAATTTCTTTCCCAAATGTTAGTTGACAGCTTAAGATATATCTAAAAATTTAAGTTATATCTTATGTTTGATTTGTTGTCACCCCCCAAGCCTTCTTAAACATAGACTGTGGTCTCTGTAGGTCTGTAACATTATTTAAGTTTGCATCCTTGTCGTTCATTTTGTCCATACTATAAATAAAAACAAGTAAAATCTATTACGCACATGTACGTAATGGTATGATAATCTGTGAATAGTTTGATAACCTTTGATTAAATAAAAATGATAAACATTTAATCTAAATAAATAATATTTAAATCAGACTTTTAACTTAAGAACTAAATCCGTTTTTGAAGATATATGATAAATTATAGCTTGTTGTAAGGGGAACGAATTATCTAATCGTAAAAAGTGAATTAACATCGCTGTTAACACTTAACACACTTTTTATACCAAAGGTAACAAAGAAAAGGACTGCGTTACTTGTTAATTTTACAGCACCATACACTATCCAGGGAAACCATGCAGGGCAATAAATATTGTTTTAGATACGTATTGCAAACGTGTCAAAACAAACGTTTTTTTTAATTTACCTACACATAATGTTTAGATGTGATGTCCACCGTACTTCAGGATTATCTGCCGTAAATCCCTGTCACCAAAATGTGACGAATATATCCAGGGTATCAACATATGAAAATTCATACTTGGAGCACGCTTTACACTAGAACTTACGACTAAGACAAAAAATTGATTAGAACTGTTTATAACTTTTTAAATTTGTTTATATTGAGAATGGTTTTTTGAAAGGAGTGGAATAATATATTTTTACACTGGTAGTTTTAATCAAAAATTATTAATTTTGCAAACTTGTATAATCCTTTCAAGTTTGGGTTTTCGTCGTTAGTTCAGTTGAAGGCCCTGATCTCTATTTTTCGTTGCTCAACAATATTTTAAATAAAGGTAAAGCTTTTAGATAGCCATACTGCTATAAAGGTTGCCTCGACTGCCGTTAGCAAGTATATATTATTCTTAAATAACGTGTATAAAGCAATTCAAAAGAAGACGTGAAATGAATTTATTGACAACGCATTAGTTTCTCTAAATAATAAAAATGCAAAAAAAAAAATAACAAAAAAATATATATAAAAATTTAAAAAGTTGTGTGGAGCACGGACTCATACATTTTAATGACAATAACCTTAACTATTATGAATGCTTAATTACTTTTCCGGAAGGTTATTTTAAATAAGACAGGTGCGATTACGTCATGAGTAACAACGTAAACGTAAATGCGCTTTTTATTTAATAACGTCACAAGTGTCGTAACGTCATGTATCTACGTATGACGTTACGTATTTGGCAATTCAAAGATTTACGTTGGCAGCAAAAGGGTTAATTTTCAATTGAAAAATTATTTTATTATTGAAATTGATTATTAAGAATTTTTTCTAAAGTTCTGATGAAATATTTTTTTAAACCTAGAAATTCAATTTAAAAGAAAGAGGGGGGGGGGGGGGGGGGGTTATTTAAATTTTTTGTTCTTAGGAAGAGGGAGCTAGTAGAAAGGTAAGGACAATATCTTTTATGTGTTTTATGCATTTACACGATAAAATAACCTCACCAACATAACTGTCGTCGTGTTGGTTGCGAGGTCCCGAAGTATACGAGGGTAATATATGTTATGAAAAGGTGTGACTTATTTAAACTCAGTGCTCATCATAACTATGTACTTGGTTAGTTTATTTTATACCCAGGAGCAGATTTCAAAAAAATAATGCATTTTCACTATATAATCTATTAGCCCCGCCCTAGCACTAGAACCCCTAACCCTGGGGCCACGAATTTCACAATTTTGGTAGAGGACTCAATGCTCATTACATTCATGTCAACAGCTTGACTGCTTGATGTCCAGGAATAAAGAAGAAGATTTTTAAAGATTTCATTAATTTTAGTGGTTTTGGCCCCACCCCTCAGGCCCCAGGGGGCAGGGACCATGCAATTCACAATTTTTGTTCCCCTTCACCCATAGATGCTATATATTCAATTTGGTTGAAATTGGTTCAGTGGTTTTAGAGAAGAAGCTGAAAATGTTCGTCAAATGTTAACAACACACGACGCACAACGACAGACGAAAACAGATAGCAATAGGTCACCTGCGTGACTCAGGTGACCCAAAAAGTGAGTGTCATGCCCAAATGAAAAAGTCTGTGACATACAAAATTGACGTTTGTATTGATCAAGATGGTTGTGTTCTTGAAACACAAGTTGAGTGTACCGCAGGCATAGGGCCTAAAGCTCATTGGAAGCTCATGTTTGTGCTTTATTGTTGGCAATATGCAAGTTTTCTTCTTCTAAAGAACTTTTGACTGAAGAAACCTGTACCCAGAAAATCCAAACCTTTCACAAATGTAATGTAACTGCGTATAAGCAGATAAATCACCCAATCAAACTGTTCAAAGTTTATTGAAGAACGTGGTGAAAGGCTGAAACATACAAAAATGAATTTGTACATACAATGTAATCAAATAACAGACAATCATACATACAACCAATACACTGACTAGATTACCAATAAATTGCCATTAATCTCATTTACATACATTTTGAAAATTACAGGAATGGATTTAGACTAAAGTCCACTTAAATTCATAGTAATAATATCTCATAATATCTCGCAATATCTCATTGAGTAAACTATGCAAATATATCAATGCAAAATCGTACACTATAAATTTGGCGGTAACTGTTATTTTTAGAAACGACAAGAAAATACACAAATTCAATGTATGACACCTATGCCGACATGTAAGCAAAATCAAATACTATAATCATATTAAACATTTGCAAACATATAAACTTACAATGTGCTCTTGGCTGGATGGACAATTGATACAAAATATTTAAGTTGTAGCTGCAAACATGCGCTGCATCAGACGCCAGCATGGAGAACTTAAATCTAATACACAAAACAAAACCGCAAACCCGGAAATATCCGGTAGACTACAAAACAAGTCATACCTAAACTGATTCGCGGACACTACACTCCCCGTCTTATATCAAAGATATAACTATTAACTAAAATAAAATTGACAAAAATCTCAAACTATTAACCACATAACTGAACTACATAACTGAAATAAAGTAATTCACACGGTTACTGCTCGAGCAGGAGAACCATCTCGGTTATTGGTCGGGTGTACACCTTCCTGTCCTTGGCGACACGAACCACAGCTTTCCGGACCATCGCATCATTGCTCTCAATCGGGCGCTCGATTATCCCCATCGGCCACAGATTCCTATGGACATTCTTCTCACGCAAGAGTACAACATCTCCGGTCTTGAGATTCTCTTTACTCGAGTACCACTTCTGTCTCTTCTGTAAACTGTCCAAGTACGTAACGTGCCACTTCTTCCAAAACATATCAGACAGCACCTGAACATGTTTCCAGCTGGCTCTGTACATGTCCTTGATACCCAAATGTTCCGAGAATGATCCAACTTCTCCCTGCTTCTGGGTCAACAGTACGTTTGGACTCAGCACCATGGGCGATGACGGGTCTGTACGCAGCACAGTTAAGGTTACAAAAAGGAGGCGGAGCCTAATTTGTACGGGACATCATACACAATATACGTCATACAATATTTCTTTAAAATACCATAAAATGAGTTTATCTGCTAATTTAACCAGTAAGAAATCATCAAACTACATCAAAACCCTCTACAGCGTGTTGTTTTGTCGGTAGTTAAATTCCACATAACAAGTTATAAACAATTCACTGATCGCAATACACTTGTCAATATGACGTCATTTCTTACAACGTGACGTAGTTTGTATGCAGTGAGAGACAGATCAAGTAATATTTTCTCAATAAAATATGTGTTCTCTAATGAAATAAAATATTATTTAAAGATATTCTATGGGCCGATAACTTGAATTTAATGTCTTCTTCACTATTTTATTAACATATTTACTGTACATTACGTATTTAATTGACACCGCTGTATATTTGTATGCAAGTACATCGGAGGGTAATGGGGGGGGGGGGGGGGGGTCTTAATAAATCGATCTAGTGCAAGGGCATACACTCTATGGATCAAAGTAAGCTTTTACATTTCAATTATAGAACTATTAAGGTATCTGAAAAGTGCTGCGATCCTAATGAAATCTTAAAAACAATTTAATTATATCAATATTTCATGCCGCTGACCAGCAAAAAATATAGCATTCGGTCATACAAGTATAATTTTAACAATGAAATTGCAGAATTAAGACAGGATCGCAGCACTTTTTAGAAACTACAATGCGTGTTGAAAATATCTATATACTAAACTTGGAAATTTAACTTGGTTATGCCCTTGCACTAGTGATATTTATATGTAACATCAATACTTCAAGTCAAAGTGCTAAAATCGCGTGACTGCCGCATCACGTGACCAGTCTAAATATAAAATATAGTCGCCCTCGATATGTAGTTATTAATCATAAATAATGCATTAAAAATAATCACCATCCCGATTACGAGTACATTTTTCGATACAAAATTTAGTCGATATTTCCATTGCTCACCTTAACTGTGTTGCGTATCAAGCGCTATTGGGCGAGAGTTAAGTATGGCACACACCTCTACCATGAATGTGACTAGTACTTCATGTGTTAGTTCCTTGCCTCCGTCTTGAAGCAGCATAGAGTCTAAAATCCTGCGAGCACTACCTACAACTTTTTCCCATACACCTCCCATGTGACGCATGAGGGGCGTTAAATAACCAGGTTGCTCTGTTCTCCTTCAGGTAAGTCTTCATCACAGTGTCTTCAACGTTGATGGCATTCACATGAAGGTCGTCCACAGCTCCAATAAAATTTGTTCCCCTGTCCGAGCGAAAAAGCTTTACTGGTCCACGCAAGGCTATAAAGCGTCTTAGGGCGTTGATAAAGCATGAGCTGGACATGTCCTCAATCACTTCAATGTGGACTGCTCGGGAAGTTTAGCAAGTAAACAAGACGGCCCATCTTTTACTCTGTGCTGACCCACCACGCGTCTTTCTGATAACTACTGGCAAAGGACCAAATTCCAACAGAGGAAAATGGTGGTCCTGGGGTGAGCCGATCGACAGGGAGATCTGCCATCTTCTGTTCCTGGGGCATCCTTCGGAGCTTCCGACACACAACGCAAACATGAATGATAGAGGATATGAGTCTCCTTGCTCCCAGGATCCAATAGCCGTGAGAACGTACAGCGCCTTCAGTGATCATTCTGCCCTGTTGAAAAACCTTGTTATGGATGAAACGTACCAGTAGTACTGCCACATGTCCATTTGGAACTATAATAGGGTTGACGGAAGAAAGTCCTGAACTCTTCAGCTTGTTTAAAACCTCCAACTCTGAGCAGACCATTATCATCAATGAAGGGAGATAAATTCTGAATTCGGCTGTCCCTAGGTAGGTTGTGTTTATTTTCAATTGCTTCAAGTTCAGCATCAAAGGCCTGAGCTTGTACACATCTAATTATGAAATGTTCAGTGTCTTTGAGTGTCGATTCACAAGTAGTGCTCTGGCACATGTGCCAACCAGTACAGTCATTGGAACCTCGGTAGGAGGCAGCTACATGACGAAGTGTGGAAAATGCGGCCACGAGACTGTCCCAAGTAGAGAATTTACTGAATCGATCCTCGATCGGGGACAGGTTGGTCAATACATGTACATAAGCCTTAAAGGTGCTCAATTCAGGACATCTTTATCGTCGTCAGGGCCGATGAGTGGGTAATCTACCTCAGGTTCACTTTCTGCTAGGTTCCTTGAACAAAACTGAACTGAAGCTTCCTAGATAGCTTGGCTACAATAGGTGATATACCAACAGATGTGTTGAACTGGGCTAACAAATCGGCGAACATGGTATTGTCCTTCAGGGACTGGATTTCGTTCAGAATATCACAGAGCTGATACAGTTCTTTTCCATCCTGACTGTCAAGAGTCTTGAAATTGTCTAATTTCTTCCTGATCGATGCCTCCACAAGGGAAGGAGCTCCATACCGTTCCTCTAGACGACGCCAAACGTTAAGTTTACCCGCTACAGGGTCACTAGCATGACAAGCCTTAATGTTCCTCACTTCGACACTTGAACTTGGTCCTAAGTACTTAACCAGTAAATCAAGTTCCTCATTAGGGGTCACAGAAAGTTCACTCATAACTCGCAGGAAGCTGGTCTTCCACGACAAAAAATGCTCTGGCTTGTCATCAAACAAGTCTATCTTGGTTACGAGGTCTTTCTTGACCCAGAATCTAGCAAAGTCCGTGAACAAGGGTTGTGGATCTATCCCTGCAGGGGGTGCAGGCGGTTCCTTTGCTGTGGGTATGTAGGCTGGAAAGCCAGGGGTCACGGGATCTGTCCCTGCAGGCGGTTCCTTTGCTATGGGTATATAGGTTGGAAAGCCAGGGGTCACAGGATCTGTCCCTGCAGGCGCTTCCTTTGCTGTAGGTATATAGGCTGGAAAGCCAGGGGTCACAGGAACAACTGAGAAACGGGACGGGGTGTACATTGGAACAGCTGCAGTTGCCACGGTAGGTGGGCATGATGGAAAGGCTTGTTCCCATTGGGTCTGTCTCTGAGGTTCGAGCTCCGACGCGAACATATTCAATGGCGAGGGTGGTGGCTCAAGATCACGAACGAAATCATCTCCGACACTCAAATTATCAAATTCAGATATGTCCGACCTATCGTCTCCCGCCACCATGAATAGCTCTGCCTCTGCAACCTGTTTTCTCGCCAATAACTCGATCATTGGTTTTTGGCTATCAAGTGCCATTTGTTTCAGTTCATTCTCCTTTTTTACAAAATCTAGACGCACTTTTGCCGCCTCTAAACTGAGTCTCTTGGTTGATCCAGTGTTGGAATGAGTGTTCAACTGTCTCTCGGGACGCACGTCCCCCTCCTCAGGGGTCACAGGAACAGAGTTCATGCATCTGTATGCCATGTCCAGAGTAGGCTGCTCAAATTCCTTTCACTGTCACTGCGTATAAGCAGATAAACCACCCAATCAAACTGTTCAAAGTTTATTGAAGAACGTGGTGAAAGGCTGAAACATACAAAAATGAATTTGTACATACAATGTAATCAAATAACAGACAATCATACATACAACCAATACACTGACTAGATTACCAATAAATTGCCATTAATCTCATTTACATACATTTTGAAAATTACAGGAATGGATTTAGACTAAAGTCCACTTAAATTCATAGTAATAATATCTCATAATATCTCGCAATATCTCATTGAGTAAACTATGCAAATATATCAATGCAAAATCGTACACTATAAATTTTGAGGTAACTGTTATTTTTAGAAACGACAAGAAAATACACAAATTCAATGTATGACACCTATGCCGACATGTAAGCAAAATCAAATACTATAATCATATTAAACATTTGCAAACATATAAACTTACAATGTGCTCTTGGCTGGATGGACAATTGATACAAAATATTTAAGTCGTAGCTGCAAACATGCGCTGCATCAGACGCCAGCATGGAGAACTTAACTCTAATACACAAAACAAAACCGCAAACCCGGAAATATCCGGTAGACTACAAAACAAGTCATACCTAAACTGATTCGCGGACATTACATGTAAACCGTTTTCTGGTAGCCCCATCAAAGCTCAAGATTTGCTACTTGCCAAAAAAGACATCAATGCTGTTACCTTTGACCCCAGACCAGCTAAATTTAGGAAAAGAACAGGGTACAATGATTATTTTGGAAAATTGTATTACTTATGCCATTGTCAATCGTCTTCCTATTTCCCAGCTGTTTTCTTCTGCAAATACATATGCAGTTGACCTTGACCATGACTATTTAAACTCAAAACTCTCTGACATTACAAAAATAAGCAGTGAAGAAATTTGTCTTTCAGAACAACAAACACTTGGTCAATCTAAAAACAAAGTTTGGCTCTCAGAAAGATGTAAACGAATGCGCTCATCAAAATTTGGTCGCATTTGCAAATGTATAGATAGGACAGATAAGAATAAGTTAGCCAAATCTTTCACTTTTGTGCACCAGATTAAGGCAGCCCAAATTGTTCATGGACAAAAATATGAATCTGTGACCCTTCAGAAACATTCTGAATTAACTGGAGATGTTACCAAATGTTGTGGAACTTCATTAGTAAAACATGTCCTTTTTTGAAAGCCAGTCCAAATGCTATCGTCGTAGAACAAGATAAACTTGTAGAAGTTAAGTGTCCTTTTTAATCAAAATATCAGTTCATTACAATTCAAACAGTTACTTATCTGAAAGTTGTTGATGGCCGAACTACATTAGACCCTACCCATGATTATTATTATCACGGACAGTTGTTTTGTTGTGGAAAACAAAATCAGAGATATTAAGATCTTTCAAATTGAGAGGGATGATGCATTTATTGAAAAGATGTTAGAAAAACTTGAGCACTCTTTTTAATTACATTTCAAGAATGCTGTCTTAGAAAAGTTTTGTTTCTAGCAATATAACAAATTTTCATTTAGATATAAAGGAATGTAAGAGATACTTTTTTTTTGTGTCAGACTTCTGGGAGTGATTGATTGTTTAGAAATACTATCTCTTTTTGTAGTACCAAGTTGCATTTGTAGTTTTTTTTTTTGCATGTGAATATGAAGATCATGATGGGGTGATATTTTACTTGACACTATGATTAGACTATTTCTATTGTTTTCTTATTTAAACACGAATGGGACATGATTGAACATTTTCATTTTTGGTGTAGGTCTATTGAAGATGGATTGTATTTCATTAAGATGCTTGTGAATGGACTACCTTTTTTCTGTTTTTCAAATCCTAAATTAATTCCCTAAAGATAAAACTTTTCTTTCATTATCATCATTAATTAAACTGAAGAAAACCAACTGGTTCACGGTGTCTGGATCTAAATTTGCCCGCTTTTGTTACGATGTTCCCCGTGTCAGAAAACATGCGTTCTGAAGGAACAGATGTGCCAAGGTACCAAAGGTGCGAGCTTTTTGTAGATACACTGTACCTTCATTTCATTTTAGGTCACCTGAGTAGCTCAGGTGACCTATTGCTATCCGTTTTCGTTCGTCGTCGTGCGTCGTGTGTTTACATTTGAACATGTTCAGCTTCTTCTCTGAAACCACTGAACCAATTTCCACCAAATTTGGTATACAGCATCTATTGGTAAAGGGGAACAAAAATTGTGAATTTTATAGTCCCCGCTCCCCTTGGGCCTGAGAAGTGGGGCCAAAACCACCAAAATTATTCCAATCTTTAAAAATTTTCTTTTTTACTCCTGGACATCAATCAGGCAAACTGTTGGAATGAATGTAATCAGCATTGAGTCCTCTACCAGAATTGTGAAATTCATGGTCCCAGGGTCAGGGGTTCTAATGGTAGGGTGGGGCTATATAGATTATATAGTGAAAATGCATTATTTCTTTGAAAATCTTCTTCTCTGGTCCTGGGTATTTAGTAACTAACTAAGTACATAGTTATGATAAGCAAGAGTGCCTCTTCCAAAATTGTGAATTTTATGGCCCCAGGCTCAGGGGTTCTGGTGTTAGGCGGGGCTCTATTCATCATACAGTGAAAATGCATTAATTCTTTGAAAATCTTCTCTGCTTCTGTGCATTAAATAAACTAACCAAGTACATAGTTACCGTATAAGCAGAAATTTTAATCTTAAATTTCAAATGCTTCTTGGTATTAAATAAACTAACTAAGTACATGAAGTATACACATGTAGTTATGATAAGTAAGAGTGCCTCTTTCATAATTGTGAATTTTATGGCCCTAGGATGAGGGGTTCTGGTGTAAGGGGTAAGAGCGGGGCTCTATTGATTATATAGTAAAAATACATTAATTTTTTGAAACCTTTTCCTTTGCTTCTGGATTTTATGCCATGATTAAATAAGGTGCATCTAGCAAAATGGTTATTTTTTTTTTATCCCCCCCCCTCCCTGGGTCAGGGGGGTTACATAGTCTGAAAATAAATTAATGCTTTGAAATCTGCTCTTTGGTATTAATCAACCATTTTATGATAAAATTTGCAAAATTTTATTAAAATATATGGCCCCACGGTCAGTGGTTCCTATGGGGTGAGGTGCACAACTGATTATGAAGTGGAAGTGCATTTTCACTTTGTTACTTTGATCTACCTCTGGTTATTAAGTAAACAGAGTAAGCATGCTACATGCTAAGTGTATAATTATGATAAGCAATTGTGCCTCTTTCAAAATTGCGAATTGCGAATTTCGTGGCCTCAGGTTTAAAACACGAACCAAATTTAATTGTTTGAAAGTTGTTACACAATACTCAGGTGACCCATAAGGCCTTTGGGCCTCTTGTCTATCGATCCAAGGGGTCGGAATTTCCTTTT